CAGTGGTGAATAAATACCACCAAAAGAAAGCTCTATCTGTCCCCAAAAAAGGGTATAAAATTCATTTCAGTACAGCGCTGCATGACGGAATAAATGTCAGTCAAAGTACCGCAGCGCTGAATACTGAAAAATGGCCTGGATGGGAAGGGGGTTTAACACCGCGGATGTCAACTGGTTAAATAGCGCCAACAGTTTGTGCAGGGCTTTACAAAATGGGGGAGACAGTACAGTTACAATACAATTTCAGTACAATAGGGTTAGGAGGCCCTGCTCATAAGAGCTTACAATCGATTACATAATAAAATGCATTTGTAACTGCAACCCATATCATACATAGTATTACATGTGGAATATTTATTTTTAGTTTATAGACTAGCAATCAGCAGAAATATTTATTGGAGAGGACTGTAAATCTCTGAACCAGGCATCTATAGTATTTAGCATAAATCTTGCTGCTTCTCATACGGCAAATAATTTCTGATCGCTTATTTAGGTGTTTTATTCCATGTATTTGCTCCATGTTTACCATTACATTTTCAACCCTTTTATTCAGTTATAACAGATAGACAACTGGTCAGGGGCATGTTTTCTAAGAGCACACGGATATTTCTACCCATTACAGAGGAAATGTGTTCCCATAATACTTCTGCCTAAATAAATATAGCACTGCTCCCCTTTTACATTGGCTTTCTGTGAGCCTTGCTTAAAAGGAGAACTATGGGGTCAGTGCTTTTCCCCATAGTTCTCCTTAGGGTAACGGGAAGACACAAACTAGCGTCCTCCCGTCACCCTAGGCTCAGTATACTGCGAGCTGTAGCTCGCGGTATACTGAGACGCCGCAGACGCCGTAGCTGAAGCGGATCCCGACAATTATGTCTGGATCCGCCCAGCTGCGTGACTGACAGCTGGATCTGCCTATCTAGAGGCAGAGCCAGCTGTACCCGCCCCCTCCCCCGTCCGTTCCGCCAGTCAACGCTGGCGGATCAGAGCGGGGAGGGGGGAATCCAGCCCCTCCCCTGTCACGTCAGAGAGCCGTGACAGGATCGAGAGGTGAGAGAACGCCGCTATGTGTTCGCTCACCCCCTGATCTACTAAGCCGACCTGTGACAGTCTCATTGTCACAGGTCGGCTAGAACTATGAGGTGAGTGAAAAGCACTCACCTCATAGTTCTCCTTTAATAAATCAACCCCTACGTGTTTTTACCTATTGTTCCAAAACAAGTTCCTAAAAAGTGTAACCTAAGTGAATACATGTTGGCCAAATTGGGATAACACCTATTTTATATTTGTTACATGTTCCCATTCACATACATAAGCTAAAAATACATTTAAAAACGCCTCTTGAAGTTTAAATTGTGGTTACTTGGGTTAGGGTTTCTTGGCTTCTTACGGGTTAAAAATTCTACTTAAAATTTCTACTTGGCTTCTCCTTAGTGTTAGGGAGCTGTTCTGAGGAGCAAGGGATTTAACACTGTACAGTGCTGGACCATTTCAATATGATTTCTAAAGTAGATATTAACACTGGCTGCCCTAACAAAGGGTTAAAGGATTACAACCCTGGCTTGTGCATTCAAATGTTAATAAGATAAATGAGAGAAACACAATCTACACATTTCAGTCCTATGTCTTTCTAGAAGGACAGATCACGGTGAAGGTGCTCAGAAAAACCTGCATTCAGTTATGTTTGCCTGCTACAACCAAATAGCTAAAAAGGTAAGAAATATATCTTTTTTTTAAATAGGATTTTTGTACTCACCGTAAAATCCTTTTCTCTCCGTTCATTGAAGGACACAGGAAACAGATCTAGGATCATGTACTGTAGGGTAATATCGCAAAAGGACCGCTTTAGCCGCTGGACACGGAGATCCAGGCAGGGGCGTGATGTCACAGGAAGTGACGTCGCCAAAAGAGCAATGCAGCCCACATACAAAATGGCGACCTCCGGCAAGGCCGCATGTGAAGCCGGGGGCTCGATTTTGCTGTTGCACGTGACTGACCCGGATCTGGCGCCCAACGGCACCAGCACCGTGGAGCGCCCCTCACAGGACCCCCAGGCATCCTCCAGCAACGAGGCTCACAAGTGAAGGAGGTAACAGGTGAGTCCACTGATCGGGCAGGGAAGGGAAGGAAGGAGGCGGGGTGATGTGTCTGATCAGCGAGCTGGAGATAGTATGGCATTGTCCCTGCAGATAAGCACGCATTCATAGGAATCATAGTAACGTTATTGGGCATTGCTCACTGAGCAGTGCTGGATAAAGTTCGCTCCAGTGGTAATGGGAGATTGTGTTTGTGGGTCTGGAAAGATGGGGGCTAGGAAAAAGCATGTGGCTGTGCACACGGGTTTAATTCTGTGCACACGGGTCTATGGGCTATGCACACCGCTTCTACTATGATACAGACATACACTCCCTTTTCTTTTGTGTACATGTGCTTTGTTGGCTGGCTATGATATGTTAATGTATTGAGGAAGTGATGTTGGTGTTTGACATCACTTCCTGGTTTCCTGTTTGTGACATCACTTCCTGTCAGACAGCTATAAAAATAAACAAATACCTGTGCTGAGGTCGCTAAGAACCGAACCACAGAACGAGCAGCATGAAAGCAACACCTGTGTCCTGACTCTACAGAGGTACCTCCGGTCCTTGCACAAAAGACTTTAATACAACTGTGCTTTAGAGCACGGGGGAAATTCTGTGTGTTTGACATACTTTGCTGCACTTTAGTGCCGCATGGATTTGTGCGTTTAGCCAAGCGAATTTCCATAACAGGGGACACACGAGGCCCACAGACCCCTCACAGGACATCCCCAAAGCCACTTACAAGGAATCCCCCTCATCCCAGGACCGCTACTGAGGAACCGGGAGCCCGCCTGTCCCAGCCCCAAACACCACCTGCACAGTCCCAGGTCGACCCCCATATACATACCACCCATGGGGGGACGCGCACCGTCCCTGAACCGCAGCCACCGCCACCACCCGAGCTATCGGGCACGGGACTCGCAGAGGCCAGGAATGCAGGACGAACAGGGACAGCGGAAGGCCAAACGCCCCCGACCGCAGTCACAGCGCCGCCAGCCTGTATGGATTTGCTGTGACTGGCCGGCCGAGACCCCCAGTCATATGTAATCCACCGGGATGAACCCACAGGCCACTCCGTCTAGACAGAGTGGTCACAGCCGACCCACCGGAGCAGAGTCTGCAAGCGCTCGCTGGTCGCACAGGGGAGACTACAAGGATCTTCCACATCCAGCTTGTCACCCTGGCGGCACTTGCTAGAAGATCAGCGAAGAACACAGGAAAAGGTCAGGTAAGAATACCCGAGAGAAAAATCTTAGCTCCTTACTCCTGACGCTAGGCAAAAAAATGGAGACTTGTCAGCAGGTGTGTGGTTTGGCCACCAGCAGGGGCCGACCCAGTCTATAATTTGTCTTTAGCTTTGTGCCTAGCGTCCTTCTCCTGCAGGAGCGATATTACCCTACGGTACATGATCCTAGATCTGTTTCCTGTGTCCTTCAATGAACGGAAGAGAAATATTTTTTTGTTATGCTGTGTGAATTGGAACACATAAAACATATAGAGGGGTTTTCTCAAGTTTGACCGCAAGAGTGGAAATACACTTCAACATTCATATAATACAACTCAAAAAATGTTAATGCAAGCAAATCTTGTTGAATTGCATTTTGGATTCTTTAAGATGCATACCTCAGAATTTGTGTCATGTGAATGCAGTAGTACTCTTTCAATGACAGTCTTCAGCAGTTCATGATCTAGGAAGGAAAAGGAGAAATGGATATCACGTATGTGCATATTTTTTTGTTTTTGGGAAATATTGCATATAAATATTTAGCGTTCTTATACTGTGCCAGCATGGCTCATTTATATAACTACAGTTTCTTCTTGCAGCTTATTGTAAAAAGCCTTTTGCAGAGCTTAGTAACTGAAGCTGAAATTTCCACACACAAAAATGTGTCAGTTCCCTCTGTCCCCGGTGTACAGTTCCATACAGAGTATTAACCAGAGAAAGAATGTCTAAAAACAGACAACCACACATGGACACTCATCCAATTACACAAGGCAGCCCATAGACTTGCACTGGGTATCCAATCGGGTCCATCTGAAAAACTGACAGGCGGACCTGATCGGAGCATCCGTGTGAAAGGGGCCTTACAGTTAAACAAAAGTTACAAAAAATTGATTACCCTAATATACTGCTATAGCACACGGGTTTGTTTACATTTTTTTCTCCCTGCTGCCAGCTTTGAAGCACAAGTGATTCAGGTGGTTGTAAAGCCACCTGAATTACTACTACATGCTGTGCCCAGGACCATCATGTCAGATGTCAGGATGGAGAGAGGCAGGAGATCAATGCACATCTGTTCGCTGATCTCCTTTGTGAAGAATGAACCTGGTAGCACTAAGCTCTGAGCATTCCCAGGGTCACAGCTGTCAATCATCAGCCTCTCAGGCACGGCAGCAGCTGATCGAACACAGCATGTGCTGGGTCAGCTTCAAATGTTTGCAGAGGTGATATTAGGGGTCCAACAGACCCCCGATGGTTCCTTAAAGAGAACCTGTTACCTGCACTATGTAATTACATATGGGGCTTACCAGCCAGCTTGTGATATCAATAGTGTTGAGATAAAAAAATAAAAAATAAAAACACCCTCAAAGTTTTAAAATACCACTGTTCTAATGTACACACAAATGCAAACAGTGAGAGCAAAAAATCTAGGGCCATCTTTCAGTGTCAGCTCTAAACTGATGAGCTGTAAAGGCCTTTAAAGAGTCACCTATGCACAGTTTTTGGTACTGTAGTTTTTTGCCATTTTACAGGTGTACATATTTTGAGGCTTGACATATTTAGTATCTATTCACTTAACACAACTTAATCATTTCTATTTTGCCATAACAAAAAATAGCAAAAAAATTGCAACTGTCATCATTTTATTCAACTTGGTTCAGAAAATTTTGTGTTTTGGACGGTAATCTTTCAGCCCAAAGTGTACATTTTTAATGTGTGTAAAATAAAAAATAAAAAAATAACGAAGAATTTCTGCAAACTGAAATAATTTAGTTATCTCTTGATTTATAAATGATAACCTCTATGTTTTGGTTTGAATTTCTCCCCATCACAACTTCTTGTTTGCTTGCTTCGACAAGTAGAGAATGAGTCTTCATACCTATCAGTGGGTTTTTTCTTACATCCAAAACCATAAGGGTAGTATTAGTTTGCAAGGCATGGAGGAAAGCCTTTGCCCCTTCATTGGTTATTCCACATTGTCGCAAATCCAGTGCTAGGAGAGAAGGGGGCATCAAACATTTAATTTAAAGCAGATAACAAATATCACTTTACTTCTTATATTAGTTAGGCAGATGAATATTGTGTATTTTATTTAGAATCCACCATAGAAATAAATGCAATAACAAAAAAACCTACAAGAAATAAACCACACAAAACAGTCTAACCTCATCCTTACCTTCAGAGATTGGGAAAACAAAACTAGTTTAATGCAGCCATCACCCAAACCCACTGCGCTTCTGCATTTCATAACTTATGGCATCTTTATCATTGTCTCGAACAAAGCATCACATAGGCATGGCAATGTGAAAACAAATTGCTAAAAAAGACACACATGGGAAATTATTAAGAAACTGGACTCCATTGCCAAATCATATTCATATGGAGAGAATCAACTGGTCTCTTCGCAGTATATCTAGCGGTTTGGAAACATCTTGCCTTTGGCACATGGGTCTTTGTTTACAGTTGCCCCAAGTCACCTTTATTTTCCTATTTTTTTCCAGTGCTTTCACATTGTTTTTGTTTTTTTGTACGAGTACATTTAGACTTACCTTTTAACCAAAGATCCTCTCCAAGTACTTCTGCTAATGCCTTTGCTCCCTGGTCACCAACAAGGGTATTGCAGTTGAGAGAGATTCGCCTCAATCCATTCATACAGTCAAGGTCAGGTCTTCTGTATCTCAGGCTCTCTGCCCAGGCCTCACTGTGCCTCCTTGTTGCCTGGTGCTGACAGGATACCAGAAATAAATAATGCAGTTCTACATTATGCATTGCACTGTATAATTAAAGGACAATAACAACAGCCTGGGCCACATGCCCATTGTCATCTTCAGCTTCAGTCATTCTACAATTCCATATTTAGAAAGATGTTATACAGTACAGCAGTCATCTAGCAGGGAAGAAACATTAAAGTATACACTGCTTTCCACTACTTCTCTGCTATATCATTCTTGCCAGTGGTCATAGGAACGTAGTTATCTGCCTCACTGACCAATAGGAATGTGTGGAAGATGGCAATTCCACCACCGGGACATGGCAGAGTTTGGCCGATCAGAAGGGCCCAGCATTCAGGCATAGCAGAGATAATGAAAGCTGATGGACGTATGTGCAGGCACCTCCAGATGCTTCCACTATAAAATTGACAATTTCTTTTTGTCAGGAAAATAAGAGTCCTCTTATTAGGGACTTGACTGCCTCAAATTGTGGGCTAAGCCTTGCTAATTTCCATGCACTCCATCCAAAAAGGGGGTTGGCATTTAAGCAGAGTTTATCCCAAAAATCAGGGTCAAACCGTTAATAACAAAGCAAAACTAAATCAGAGCGTGTACAAAAGGGGGATTTTATAGAGGACACGGCTAACTTGGCCAGACAAGAGGGCACTTGAGAATTGACTCCTGTACCTTTTCACTCTCCTACCTACATATCAAAAATACTAAGCTGTTTTGGTAAGCTTGTAAAATGGTAACCAGCATTTGACCAACTGCTCTGAATTATAACACCGCACAAATGATCACAAAAAAAGTCTTCATTCTTTTGTTAAAAATAACGGTCTAATGTTTAATCCTTCAAATTACCTTGATAATAATAGCAATATATTCAGCTCCTCGCCATGTCAGATTGCATCCAGTAAAATTTATCATTTTGATTGCTGGTGAATTTTTCACACTTTGACAGATAACTAGAAGAAAGAACATTCATAATTAGAAAGAGAAAGTAAAAAAAAAAAAAAAAAAAGAAGAAGAAGAGCAGGCTATAGGAACAGAAAAGAAGATATATTTTTACGTGGGGTACTCATTATAGGTTAAAAAGAGGAATGGTGAAAGTCTGGTATGTGCTATTAAAGAAGAACTCTAAGCAGAGGAAAACGTAGCCCTTGCAGTGGGGTTAAAAGAGAACTATGGGGTAACCTTTTTATCCTATAGTTCTCTTTAGGGTCACAGGAGGACATATACTAACGTCCTCCCATAACCCAAAGCTCAGTATATAGTGAGCCATTGCCCGCGATATACTGAGAGAGCGGCAGCCGGGATGGATCCTGACAATACTGTCGAGATCCACCCAGCTGGCTGATTGACAGCGGACTCTGCCTATCTAGAGGCAGAGCCAGCTGTGCCCGTTCCCTCCCCCGTCTATTCTTCCACTCAGCGCTAGATGATGAGAGGGGGAATCCCTCCGGGGAGCGGTGACTGACAGTCACGGCTCTCTCCAGGGAGATGATCGTAAGTCAGCGAGCGACGGTATGTGTTCGCTCACTTCCCAATCTATAGAGTAGACGTGTGACAGTTTCACAGTTACACGTCAGCTCTAACTAGGAGGATGAGTGTAAATCTCTCACCTCATAGTTCTCCTTTCAGTTCTCGCTTTCGTCTAGTGTCAAAAATAACAAAGATATACTCACCAGGTCCTGGGTCCCGCCCAAACCTAGACCGGTCCATGCAGCCTCTTTCCCCCTCCACTTCTATTCTAGACCGGTCCCTGCAGCCTCTCTACCCCCTCCACTCCTGCGGTCCAAGAACAGTGAGTCATCATGTCCATACAGTGCAATGGACGTGAGGAGAGGAACATTACACTGGCGGAGTGGAGGAGGAGAAAGGCTGTAGGGACCAGTCTAGCAGCCGAGGTTCATGTGAGTATATCTTTGTAATTTTAGACCCTAGAAGAAAACAAGCACTTAACCGTTGCAGTGCGGGGGGTAGCCCTACTGCAAGGGTTAAGTTTTCTTCTGCCCGGAGTTCTTCTTTAAAATGAATATTATGGTTCTACAGCAACATTTTCTCTTGTTTTGGATATAGTTTTAATTGCTGTCTGTGTCCCCATTTAGGAGATGCACCCTCTCTAATTTGTCTTAGTGGCCACTGTCACCAGGACTGTAAATGAGGGAAAATTCCAAATTTGCTTTCATTTTTGTTACCAGAACAGAGGGAAAAATCTTCCAATGGGGACACTTGTTCCCATGATAACTAAGAGGGATTTTCCTGATTTGGAGAAGTCCTCTGCCTTTCATTTTTTCCTACAGGAGAGAATGTAAAGAGAAATCCCTCAATAGGAAATAGATGGCTTTAAAAAATAAAACACAGGAAATGTAACCCTTCCTTATTCATTCTATAATGAAAAAAAATCTAGATTGATAGATAACTGTATGGTTTGCTTTGAGATTTGCAGCTCCATGTTTTTTTCTTTCTCCTCTCACCATATCCCCACCAGCATTACAAAGTAGCTCCAGTGTCCTGCTGCAGCAATGCATAGACATTTACATGCTCTGTAATAGAAAATACACGGTGGATCCATCTGAGTGAAGGAGATCACTCTGTAATGATCATGGCAGGGAAGTAGTGCTGGGGACTCCAAACCAAAAATCACAATACTGGGGTGATTCTGTGATGGGTTATAGAGCCCACTGCCATCTACCTAAAACTGAAATATCTATTTCAGATGAGCCGACACTTTAATTACATGCTTAACGCCAAGGCAGCAATTTGACAGCATTAAAGGTTCTTAAAGAACTCTCCAAATGGACAGAATGCATTAGAAAGATATGGGATTAGAGTTCACAGATGGGAGACTGTGCTGTTCTTTACTGAGTGATTGCTCCATTGAAAGTTCATTAATTCACATACTGCAGCACATCAAACAGCTGATTGTACAAGGCGTTGCAGATTCAAAAATACAATTTTAAATTTATACTCCTCTGATCTCCATGGAAACCGGGAAACTGCAGATATGAATTCCTCAAAATAAAAGCAGCAAGTCACTGGAGTAAATACTGCCGAGAATGACTCACTGTGTCCATTGCTTGTGCAATCTACAGCTCAAGCTCTTTTTAAAATCCACAAGCAAAGCAGCTTGTGATGATCAGAGAGTGTACATAAATATCTCTTTGACAATGCCAAGTCATTTTGATTGAACCCAAAGTCAAAGAATTTACTGCATAATTAGGAAAAATCATATTTTGAACATAACGTTGGTGGGATCTGTTTGGACAGGTGAGATCAGAGGGTACTGTGAAACAGATTTGTGTTGATGAAAGGTGGTACATGTTGAGTGAAAGCTGCTCTCTGCTGAATTCAGTTACTAGGCTAAAGAAAAAACGCAGAAAATGCTGGAACTCCAAAATGTGAACATCACATAACTGTAAATAAAATATACAAAATGTACGAATACCAAATGGAAGAAAAAAAAATAGAATACAGCATCTGATTCACAGGCGTATGGCAAACATACTAATGCTAATTCATCCTAGATGACAAGTTTCCTGTAAGTATTGACACTAGCCATGCACAGGAGGGATAGAAGAGTTTGCTTCAGAATGACAGACCCCAGAACAACCTACATGTACATTCATCGTTCAGTGTATGTCATGTGAACTCCCCGCTGCTGCCCATGGTTAGTCTAAATGCAATGCTCGCTTACCTATGCATAACCAACAGAAAGCAACAATACATCAGCAAAAATGTGTCAGGCCTGCAATGTGGGTCAACTGAAGATCTTTGTTTCAACGTTTTCTGCCCTTGGACACCACAAACACATCATTTAGAAGCCTAAGAAAGAATAACCTTTGCTAAGCACAAGCTGTCCAATTGGAGCAACTCCGACCCTCCAGCTGTTGTGGAACTACAAGTTCCATGACGCATTCTAAGACTCGGACAGCAACAGGCATGACTCCCAGAGGCAGATGCATCATGGGATTTGCAGTTAAAAGAGAACTATGATGTGAGTGATTTTCACTCAACCTCATAGTTCGATGCCGATGTGTGACAATGAAACTGTCACACGTCGGCTCAATAGATCGGGAAATGAGCGCTGACTGGAGGAACGAACGGGGGAGGGGGCGGGTACAACTGGCTCTGCCTCTAGATTGACAGCTCGCTCTGCCTATCACAAAGCTGGGTGGATCTCGACAGGAATGTCGGGATCCGTCCCAGCTGCGGCGGTCTCAGTATACCTACAGCTCGCGGTATACTGAGCTTTGGGTCACGGGAGGACGCTAGATGATGTCCTCCCGTGACCCTGAGGAGAACTATGGGGAAAAACACTTACCCCATAGTTCTCCTTTAAAGCACAGCTGGAGGGCCAAATTTGCCCACCCCTGAATTAGAGCAAGTTATGTGGTATTCAGCAGATACACAGGGGTTCACTTTTCCAAATCAAAAGTGTCCAGGATCTCCCATTTCCTAAAAATTGTAAGGCCAATGACCTACTTGTGGTACACTTACATAGTTAGTAAGTTACATGATTACATAGCACTTGGCACGGCAAAGTGTTTACACTAGATATCATCCAATGGGGACATTTGTTCTGCTGACATCTTTCAAGAGAGAAGAGTTAAAAAACACATTCACTGTTAGAATTTCGTACATTCCAGAAACATTTTCCATCCTGCTCCTTCAAGTTTTTTCGTCACTACGGTCGAAATCAATCATTGATTTGATCCCATCAACGAATTGAAAGTTGAGGGAAAGATCTTCAGTACAAAAGTTTGTTTGGAAATCTACTAGTGTATGGCCAACTTTACTTTAGAGATGTCCTCCTTCTTCCTGTATTGTCTTGAGACAGAGAGTGAAAGAAAATCTTCCCAATGGGACACAGAAAGCAAAAAGAAACCTTTACAGGTTTTAACTATTCCTTACTCTATCCAAAACTTAAAAAAGGGGGATTTTCCTCAGTTTGAAGAGATTTCCTCTCACTGTCTGTTGGGTCTACTGAACAGGACGACAAAAAAAACAAAACAATGGTGGTTTTAAACCATGTGGCTCAAAGCTTTATACTGCTTGATAATAGAATAATAAAAGAGCTTTATTAAGCAAGTTCTGAAAGTGAATTCCTCTGTGCAGATCACCCTGTGAAAGACAAGATAGTGTATGCCTAATATACATAGTCCAAGCAGGAGGCAATTTAAGAAGTGGATAGGTGTTAGGTCTGGGCTTTGTTTTTTAAATTCCTTTTAACTATTATATATAATGAGGGAGGATCATTCAAATATATAAAGTGTCCATCAAGCACATGCCCTAAAGATACTTACTATTTTTGGGGCATTTACCTTTCTCTGTGGCTTCAAAATGCAATACAACACTCAAAAAAGTCAGATTGTTTTAATGACTTGTCTCACAATGAAAGATGTGGCCATATATACATTTTGTATCGCATCTTCCTGCCACCAAAACATTAGGGACAGGAAAATACAAAATGCTTAAAAAGGGCCATTAGCAAGTACAGTATAAAAAAAAATTCTAATCTGATCAAAAGAGAAATTACAAAGACAGTTGACGTAGAAACAATGGAATGATATATTCTATTTCTCGCAATATTCCTCCATCTCTAGTAGATTTCAAGAAGCAGGATATAAAATGTAAACATGATGGTATAGAGTTCCGAATATTTTGCATAGGATTAGTCAGATAAAATTTTGGGAGATGTGGAAACAAAGGGAACTATTTTCCATACATTTTGGACATGTCCCAAAATACGACCCTTTTGGGAGTCAAGAGTTATATCAAAAGGTTAGCAAGGATAGATTTGGGGGAGAATCCATCAGCTTATTTGTTACATGTTTCTGCTCTCTCCAGGAAGAAATATAGGAGCTCATTGCATTTAGTGGATGCAGCAAGAATTTGTGTATCCTTGTACTGTACTGTAATGTACTGGAGAAAGGAGACACCACCATTGATTCAACTATGGTTCTGCTGAAATTAGAGATGTGGAGGAACTCACAGTATCTCTATACCATAGAGAAGAGAAATTTGGATCGATCTGGTCGAGTTGGATGTGCATCACCCATTCTCAGGAATATAGAAACCTTGTAACCAAGTATATCTAACCGAGAACATTTAAAATTTGGGGTCTCACTCTAGAATATTTTCTTCTTTTTTTCAAAGGGTAGGGGGGGATAGGATAAGAAAAAATAATACATGGTACTGATGGAACTAGGGTTTAGTTAGGTGCAAATATCTGGTTGCTTTTGTGAATATATATATGAGATGTAGCAGAATTTATATTTTTACCATGTATTGGTTTTGGAAAAAATTTATAAATGAAAAAGAAAATAAATACTTACTTTCAAGTCCTTCATCTCCACATGAACAGTATGGTAATGACACGCTTTCCAAAGATTTTGAGGCAGCCAAGCCCTTTAGCAGGAAGAAATACATTTCCTATTATTACCCTGTAAGGGGCTTATTAACAGACTTATTAAATCATTCTTTTTTCTAGCAATGTAGAAAAGGTTCTAAGCAAAAGTCTATAACATTTATTAGCAATGAGAACGTCCACTGAATGCATAACACACTGATCACTCATTCATTCTATCAATGACACAAAAAATGAAAGCTGGACAGACATTACAATCTACCAACATTATTATATGTTTATTGCTGGTCCTTGCACTATATAGTTGTTAGTACAATCAGAGGTCAGCTTATAGAGATATTAAAGTCAAAATGTTTTAAATGTGATATTAATAAAAAAGGGTTTTTAAACTATTTCAAATGCTGATTGAATCACTCACAAAGGATGCTGCTCCTTGAGGTTTAAAAGTGTTAGTTTTTTGCAGAATCAGCTAGTCCCCTGAGCACTGGCCCTGATATCCTGTTTTAGGGTGGCTCCTTTCCGGGACCTATGGTGCCACCCTTGCCTGTGCTAGTAAGCTGTGTGTCTCCACAAACATACAAGCATAGCAAGACAAGGCACTCCCCTGCTCCCCCTATTTAACCCTCCTCCCTTCTCCAAGCTAGAAGATGGACAGTTGCCCAGAGACTGCACTGCCCCTTGTGATCTTGTACTGCACAGGACGTCCAGGGAAGCCGAGTTGAGAGAGTTAGAGCCATGTTTGGAAACATGATGACCGCAATTACTTGGGCAAAGTTTTCAAGAAATACTTTGCTGGGCAATGTATATTTGTTTAATCTGGATTCATTATTGCAAAAAAAAGTACAGTGGTTCATGTAAAATAATAAATTGCCCTTCAAAAAGCAAAATCATTCAGAAGAAAACCACAACCAACTTTATGTGCTCCACTTCTGTATGAAGCCCGATTTCTGGTTATTCCTAAAGGGGAGTTCCAGCAGAGCCCTGTAGCTACCACCCCTCTGCTATGCCCTTCTACCGTCATTCTCGCACATCTACCCCCTACTGTCTATTTTCTTTTGCTCCCATCTCCTGCTGTCAGTTAGCCACTGCACCTCTATATAATTATCTCCCGTCCTGCAGTCAATTCTTTTACCCCCACCTCCCGCTTCTGGTCTTGTTGTCTCCTAGAACCCCTATACAATAATTATTCATTCCTGAAGTAAGTTCACCTCTTTTAAATGTCCATGTGGTGGCCCGGCCTGTTTTGTAGTAGTAGGAACAGTAGACATGTCCCCTGTTTAGTAACTCTGCACATGTTTTAATTTTATTCAATCCAGACATATCTCTATTTTAATTACATAACAGGAATAAGTATAACATGTACATGTGTGCGACAAGGACATAAATAAGTAATGCTCCTATCAGCTAAAGAAGAGAAATACAAGGACAAAAGTAGCCTGGGACAGCAGGGAGGCATTACAGTCCTCACAGAATAGTGGAAGGTTATCAATATGCAGAAAACAGAAATGTGGAATGTCATTCTTAGTGATAAAATACCAAATGTAGTAAATGTTAGGCAAGTCATTTTAGCTAGACTGGAGTACTGAAATAGTACCACTATCTGTTATCAAGTGCAGCATTCGGGCCCATACAGATTAACAAGGAATAAACCAAGTCATGTGATTTGTAACTTCCACTTAAAATGCAGCATGTGACTTCTGATCACTACCACTTAAAATCTTAACTAGGTTCCTTGGGCTAGCTAGCAGTAGGCTGACAAAGTTTGATTGAATGTTAAACACAAATCTACATGAACACAGGTTATTTGCTAATCTAATATTATTAGTCAAGCTGGTTTACAAAGTGGAGTGGCGCAAAGAAAACCAAAGCAAAGCCAGAGCCGAAATATGATTCGTTACTTGAAACCCAATTGGTTGCTGGGGGCAATAGGTCTTCTGCTGTGTGTGATTTTACACCTGTAAGTATAATAAACCTTTTAGAGATAGTGACTATATGGTAGTCTTCTTAAGTAGCCCAGCAGCCACTTTGAAAACACATTTGACAAAAATGTTACCAATCCTTTTCAATGTGGAGATGGATGTACACCAGGAGTGGACAAATTAATATGGAATTCAGGTCTGTCCAATCCGAAAGCCAGCAGGATTTTTTAGGAGCCTGCTCCATTGACAACAACTAGAGAAAACCAAGTTGGGTGACAGCTATATTTTTTAACTAGCATTGGCTACCTGGCTCCTGGGATTTCTCCAGCCCTGATGTACACACTAGTATTTAAAATACTTGCCTTAGCCAATGTTCGTAAATCTCTTTCCCTTAATGGCAATCCATGGAGATCCAACTCTTTCAAAGAGCTTGACACACGCAAACATGCTGCAAGGGCTCGGCATAGCTGGTAAGTCATGTCCTTTGATCGAATAGGTGGAATACGCCTTTGAAAGTGGATCCCATATTTTTCTGAATCTGTCAATTCAAATTATGAATTACTACACCTGAATTTAAATAGTATGATGCTGAACAGAAATCATCCAGCATTTTGGCAAGTAAAACAACCACTTGCCATCATTCCTATGTTGAAACATTACCACTCTGCAAAAATAATTACTACATATTTGATTTCTCAAATTTATGGGACCAACAGTGCTAAATTCTCATTTCATTTATATGCGAGTATGATATTCTCTTTAGCACAATTATCATGTTATAGCCTCTAGGCCAGTGTTTCTCAAACTTTTTTCAATGGCGACACCCTTTAAAAGTATGCAAAATCTTGAGGCTCCACAGTCTAAAATGTCAGATTTTAAAGGGGACCACACACACAAAAGCAGGATTCCCCTTCACATTAAAGTGCCCCCTTCAAATCAAGATCTCCCCTTCACATCAGGAGCCCCTCTTTCACATCACAGTTCCCCCTTTACATCACAGTCCCACTACTACAAAATTTCGAGGCACTCCTGAGAAAGCAAAAAGGCATCCTAGGGTACCATGGTTGAGAAATGCTGCTCTAGACTTTATACTGGAATGCAGTTAGCCCTTTCTTGTCCCGGATTTTCTATCAGACCTGTTTCATCTTCTTGCTCCCCTGTCACTGTAATAACTTATATTCTGCTGGTGTTAAAGCTCACATGAGGAAAGCTGGCCATACATGCAAATATTTCAGCCTCTGGGCTGAACAAGACAGATTGAACAGATTCCTCTATTCATGCAAAACAGCACGAATAAAGGAATGTTTCCTGCCAGCTATTGTATTCAGCAGTTGGATGGACCTGAACTGCATCTAGTTGGCTGCAATCACTGTTCAGCCAAGAACTTTCCACCCAGGCTCCTTCGACAAAATTCAACTGAACAATAGAATTTTGTCAACCCATGTGGTGCCAACAGGGCCATCCACAGCAATTTCTCTTGATTCAGCCAATACTCAAACCATGTATGACCTGGCCTGACTGATACATCTAGCTATCCAAGACACATGGCTACAGGGCAGGGCTAAGAACAGAGAGAAACATTATTTGGAACATGGTTTATATTCAAATTCATAAAGAGACTACAGTACATCTAAAGCCAAAACCTTTTTTGTTTTAGATTAGCATATGGTAATCTGTGTCCCCACTGGGAAGATTTACCTTCTTATCCAATGGGACATGGTCACTGTTTCAGTGACAACTGTATAAGATCTCCCTATACTTTGTAGAGATTTCCTCTCACTTCCCGATGTGTCTCTAGGACAGAAAGCAGTAGGGAGATCTCCCCAATGGGACACAGACAGTATAACAGACATCTGACAGGGGTTTCAACTATTCCCCACACAGTATTCAAAAAAATGTTCCTTTAGAAATACTGTACTTTAATAGAAATATTATATTACAGGATGCAAAATTTTACTTTGTCCCAACCTGATTCACCGAGTCCTGGTTGATGACAGCTTTTTATAGATACACTTATCAAGCTTTTATTAATTTTCAAGGTATTCAGAATGGGTGGCCAGTCAGATAACCTGATCCGATCTGCATTGAAGCTAAGGGCATCCCGTCGTAGATTCGCCTTAACAGCTTGCAATGGGACGGAATCTTGTAGTACACACATATATTCATAATGGGACTTAAAGTCCATAGGCCCTTGGCGGCGTATTTGAACTGAATCAATCATCTTTTCCTGTAAATTAAAAGGGAAGAAAAAAAAGAAGGTGAGAAGTGAAAAGGGTAATTATTTCTAACACTACTCTAATCTCTACTGGTATTTAGTCACATAGGTTTACATACTAAATAGTATAAAAGATTCCTTCTGCAAAGAAATGCAGAGTTTTATCAAACTTTATGAAAACCGGTTACACTTAACAGGAGGATCAGATATAGGAACCAATCAGATATCAAAAGATAGTACATGAATAATGGAATGGCTTGAAGAACAAATGTAATCTAAAAATAACGCTTAGCTCATTAATGCAAAGGGAAAAACAATTGTTAATGTATACATTTGAGGGAGCCATGGAGTATAGAAATTATGCTCCTTGGCTCCATCTAGTGGCAGAAATGCCACGTGAACGGCATTCGCCCAGCGTATGGCTGGGTGGAAGTTTTTTTTAAATCAACCCCCAAGTGACTGAGCCAGAACAAGAATGCAGATCAGGAGTTCTGACTTTAACGGCTACACCCAAAACTCAACACCCAAAACTTTCAGTCCTGCTGTATTTTTTACTCACACTGAAAAGAAAGTGGGAGTAATATAACCTCCATCATTGTCAGTGGAAATAGCACTAGATACAATAGTAATCCCCAATATTTGTGTCAGTGACCACATTGTAACCCCCAGAACTGGTGTCAGTGGCTATAAAATAACCATTGGTGTCAATTATTATAATAACAACAACCCCAGCATTGGTGTGAGCGACTGTCATCATAACCCCCTGCATTGGTAACAGTGACTGCAATCATAACCCCCTTCATTGGTGTCAGTGACTGCAATAGTAACCCCTCTAACATTAATGTCAGTAAACACAACAATACCCTACAAAATGGTGTCAGTGACTGCAATTATAACCCCCAGCAGTGGAGTCAATGAACATAATAATAACCATTAAGATTAAGAAATCTGCGATGGCAGCTGCCATATGTCTCTCAGGAAAGATATCTTTAAGAACACTGGAACAGGCTGGGATCACATTTTGTATTGCAACAATGCGTGATATCCAGGTTGGTGTGCTGCAATGTCATTCATTCTTAATTGCACCTCAAATGCATCTTGCCGATGCAAACACACGTGTGTGTTGCAGCACACCACAAAGCATGGTAACGCACCACTGTTCGCTGAGGTGCGCTGCATTGCAAAAAGTGTGTGCACCCTTTTTTGGTGAATTAGGCAGCCCATTTAAATTAACGGGTTGCCTTAACGCGAGATGCATTTACTCAACAGTGCGAATCCAGCATTAAACACTACAAATGCATACCTATCAACTGTCCCAGATTTGCCAAGGTAGTCCTGCTTGTAAATTATATGTCCCGCAACATGCTTGTCCTGGAAAGTAAGCTCCACTCTCTATACTATGAATGGATGAACGATGTCCCGCTGGTGGGCGGAGTTTGAATAGCCCCGCTGCCTTATTACAGTAACCAGATGGAGGGACTCTACTTCTCAAACTCCACCTACTAACATGCTATCATTCATTCCTCCCAGAGTGAAGCCCTCTTCTTCTGTGCATCATGGTCCTTAAGCACAGCTCCCCAAGTCCCCTCATTGGGATCCATAACCCCTCAACCCCTTGCTCATCCTGTGGCCCCTATTTCCCTTACCAGCCTCATATACCTTGTGCTTCCACTGCTTCCCCTGTGGCCTCTGAGCAGAATGACCCAGGGGCCCCTTACTAGCAAAACTCAGCCTAATGTATAATTAACCCCTCCCTGAACCTAGATATCCCAGGGCCCTGAGTAGAACTCTGAGGGCTCCTATCTGCCTGTTTTATTTTTTTAACCGCTTCCCTCCTGGGGCCCCTGGGCACAATGCCTCCAGGTGTTCTCGTACCCACCTCCTGCCTTCCATGGTCTACTCTGTGGCCCAGAGCAGAGTCATTATTGAGCCTGATGAAGGGCCCCCGAAAGCGCTTGTCTTTTGACATCCATCAATAAAATGGATTTGCACTGACACGAATCTTCATATTGGAGTGCTGGTGACATTTGTATTTGTAGTCTTTTCAGTGACAGATCCTGGGAATGGATCCGTGATTGAATGACATAGTGCCAAATTCAGATGTAAACAAAAGGAGCCTGCATGGGGTTTTTTTTGAATTCGCCGTTAAAAGTACATTCTCCACCTACAATGGCTTGCTAGCTGCAGAGCAAAAAGAAAAATAAGTCCCTGGAAATGTTTTTGAAGTGTTAGCACCATGCAAATGAGTGTACAGAGATAGAGCACGCTGACTCTGCAATCTCTTGTGTAATTGATGAGTGATCACAATGTAGTAAAGTGTTATAGATGCGAGCAGTGATAGTACATAAGTGTGACTCCCTACTAGTATACAAGTGTACAACAATACACAGCGCACGTCCCATACTTACAACGGCCGTATAACCGGGGAACAAAGCTCACGATGTGTCACCGTCGCGACCACTACAGATCAGCTCCCATGTCTCATGACTCCGCCCCCTTCCTCCATAGCATTGCGTTACCTTGGTTTCCAACCGCCTGCGGAACCCCGCCCCATCCTCTCCTCTCTTTCCTGCTCTCCTCCCCCTGACCCGTCTTCCCCTTCCTCACTCCAATGACCCAGACCTTGTCCCAGTCCGCCCTCCTCCTCACCACCCATCACCACCAGGCTTCCTACCTATGGCAATGCTACACCGAGCTGTTACTGCTATCCTGCCATGGACGATACACGCAGCTCTTCATGTGTACATACAAAAGCAGCCACCGACTCATATGGAGACCCTTTTCAGTCTATAGCAGGGCTGCTCCACTACCTCTATTCGGCTTCCGGATGCTGGAAGAGCAGGGTCACGTGAACTAGCTCTCTCCCACACACACATCATGCCAAATAAAATCTAGAATACAAAAATGGAGGATGTGAAAATAAATATATAAAAATACATATTAATAAAAATATATATATCAGATATACACACATGAAATAAAATTATATTTAAAATATTCAGATTATTAAATAAAAATATGTACACATGAAATAAATATATAACATTCCCTTTTAGATTGTCAAAGGCAGGGCCCTCCTTACCATCTTGTCTTAAATTGTATTATGATTGGATTTGTAGTGTTTGCATTGACATACTATTGATTGCATTACGTTGCCTATGTGGCCTTCTGTAGCCGGCAAACACTATAATATGCTGATTATTACTACCTTGAAAACCCAATAAATATTTGGATATTAAAAAAAATTGTATTGTGATTGTAATGTCTTCCTTATATTGTAAAGCACTGCGCAAACTGCTGGCGCTATATAAATCCTGTATAATAATAATTAAAATAAAAACATAAAAATTCAGATTCATTTTATACAGGACTTATGTAGCACCAACAGTTTGCACAGCGTTTTACAATATAATGAAGACATTAATGTTAGAATACAAATCAAGATAATATGGTAAGGATGGACCTGCTGATTACGAAATAATTATAAATAAATACTAATTATTTAAAAAAGAATATGAGAAGATATAAATCAAGATTTAAAATGGAGTAGTGGTTAGTGCATCTGCCTTGTATTACGGGGGTCTCTGGTTCAAATCCTGGTCAGGTCACTATCGCCAAGGGTTTCCCCCCACAATCCAAAGACATGCTGGTAGGATAATTGTCTCCAGTCTAAATCAGCCCTGTACGTATGTGTGTGAGATAGGGACCTTAGATTGTAAGCTCCTTGAGGGCAAGGACTCATGTGAATGTGCAACTATGTAAATTGTTGGCACTATATAAATAATATACAGTACTGTGCAAAAGTTTTAGGCAGGTGGGAAAAAATGCTGTAAAGTAAGCATGTTTTCCAAAATAAATGTGCTAATAGTTTATTTTTATCAATGAACAAAATGGAAAGTAAATGAACAGAAGAGAAATCCAAATCAAATCAATATTTGGTGTGACCGCCCTTTGCCTTCAAGACACCATAAATTCTTCTAGGTACACTTACACACAGTTTTTGAAGGAACTTCGCAGGTGGATTGTTCCACACATCTTGGAGAACTAAGCACAGATCTTCTGTAGGCTGCCTCACATACTTCTGTCTCCATGTAAGGCCAGACAGACTCAGTGATGTTGAGATCAGGGCTCTGTGGGGGCCAAACCATCACTTCCAGGACTCCTTGTTCTTTTGTATGCTGAAGATAGTTCTTAATGACATTGGCTGTATGTTTGGGGTCATTGTCCTGCTGCAGAATAAATGTGGGTCCAATCACACACTTCCCTGATGGTATGGCATGATGGATAGGTGTCTGCTTGTATTTCTCAGCATTGAGGACACCATTGATCCTTACCAAATTTCCAACTTCATTGGCAGAAATGCAACCCCAGACTTGCAAGGAACCTCCACCATGCTCTACTGTTGCCTGCAGACACTCATTATTGTACTGCTCTCCAGCCCTTTAGCGAACAAACTGCCTCCCACTACAGCCAAATATTTTGCATTTTGACTCATCAGAACTCATCAAAACAAATTAAAAAGAAATATATAAAAAAATAAAATACAAAACCATAAAAAGAAATATATGCATTCAAGAGAAGATTAAAGGTATATTAGGAAAACATCGACTTTTGGCAACTGGCCTGGTTAATTGGCAGCCTGATAGCCCTGTCATTAGGTTTTACGAAATCTGCAAGTCTGTCATGTCTGTTTCCATTTGAAGAAAGAAAACAGTATTAAGTAAGGTATACGCGGTTAGAATTTCAAATGAGTTTAATCGATTTCGGAACGTTCGACCCACTAATCGGTAATGCAGTGAAAATCGATGATCAATTTGGACCGCAATGACGAAAAAAATTCGAATGAGCATATTGGAACATTTTTCTCGATCGAACAAAATTCTAACAGTGAATGTGGTTTTTGTTCGGAAAACTTTATTTATTCCAAAATCAAATGTTAAATAAAAACGAAAATCAAACTAAATTTAGAACGACAATCACCAAGCCTCTGATGGTACCGTGTTTCCC